TTTGGAATTTAAAAGATGACAAACAATCAAAGCAATAAAGGATCCAATTAAATTTTACCATTACAATCTATCAGAGACCATCCAACTGATTCAGAAAATTCAAAAAATTATACATGATCTAATCTTATCAGTAGCTTCATTAACTACATCAATCAATGCATTAGCAATCTTACGCTCAAATCAATCCACCACTTTTTGATCAGACTCGATTTTTGATTCGTTGATCTTTAACTTCCATACTTGAAGTCGTTCCTAACTTAGGACTTGAATGTGATCAATTGATGACTGATCCTTCAAGTTCATTGAGAAGGGTTTGTTGATATCCAGTTTTTTTGCACAGTCAGTTTTTCAAATAACAGTTGACCAATAAACCTTTCTTCCTTCAGTTCTTGGTCACGTATCATAGGTGGTGATCTTGCGCTCATTGAGTGGACAATCTAAATTAGGAAGGTATTTTCCTCAACTTTGTTTGCTAGCTTTTGTTCAAAAAGCTGACCATTATTCATTTCACTTTTGTAGAAAAAGCTCATCAAAAGACAATCAAAACAAAGCTGAAACCTCATATCATTTCGCACTTCAACCTTGATCTACTAATTACTCAAACTATAGACAATATATCAATATGACTCCAAATGTTATCTCGGTCTAATTAAGATGGTTCAAAAGAATCGTAACTCTAATCAAACATCAATGTTCACAAACCCGCTAATGATATTATAAACAAATCTTTTTGATCTTGTATTTCAAACAAAATCAAACTTGATATACAAACAAATATCAAATTGATCAGTCTATTCAATGACACCAACATTGCATTCTGAGTTTTTTTGATTTGATTGATGTACTCAATAACAAAACTCATTGTCAAGATCAAACATTGGCATCATCGCCGATCAAATGGAGACAACTTCCTTAATCGAGTCAAATTATCACCCTGTACCTTATCCTCCTCAGCCTCAGATGCAAGCACGCCAATCGGAATGAGTACACGACTGAACAAATATGTTCCAAAATCATGTGTTATCTATAATCGGTCAACATTGAGTTTAATTGATCCACCTCATACACAAACATGGACTGCAGACGAGCTCTTTATGAAGAAAGCCCTCGGATCAGTCGGGCGCCCGCTAACTACTTCTTTCAGATCCCCTCAATCTCAACCCGAAGCCAATTGTATCACACTCTTGAATGTAGATTTAGTAATCAACAAGTTTAAGTACCCCTGACACACTCCAATACTTGCTAACCACAGCCGAAGATCTCATGTCAACCTAACTTCTCAGAAACCAATCAATATGCATAATAAAATTGTTCTGATGCATCAAGTTGTCAAACACAACAAGAGAATGATCCATCTTTTTTCTTATTTTAATTCAATCATCATACTCCAGAGCAAATGTGATCAAAGGAATCACTTCAATTGATCTTGAAAAGAGAAAGAGAGTTTTGAGTGGGATGATTTTCTTTTTTGTTTTGTAGCATGGTTGTTTAGTTAGATTAAAAAAATAACTCTAGATGTAAATCTAGAATTTAATATTCATTTTCACCTAAAATGTCAATTGAAAGAAAAGAATCAATCAATTCACTAAGAATCGAGTCAAGAATGAAAACAGAGAAAGTGCAAGTTTTATAAATCAATGGAATGATGAACTTGATGTTTGTTTAGAATTGGATTGTGTTAAGGTCTGGTTAGAGAATGTGCTTGGGTTAATATTGGATGGAATACCAAAGATTTTAGAAGAATCAGTTGAGTTCATCCATTCTTTATAAAGCAATTTGTTATTTTCATAAAGAAGTGTTGATTTCAATTTTGCTATTTGTTTGATCAGAGTAAATCAATTAGTATGATTTCTTATAAATAGAACCAAAGTCACAATAGAATCTTGACTCCTAGCCAAATCATCCTCATTCAAAACCTTGACAGCTTTACCTTCAAACTTGAGAAAACCATTATCACAACCAACAAAACATTGGTGGAATCACTTGAATTTATCAAGTACAATTGAATTAAAAAATTTAATTCCTTCTAAATATTTAATTTCATCATATGAAAATCAAATGTTTCATTGAGAATTGTATTGGAATTTTTATATAAGACATTTAAAAATGAGTATACTCAATGAAGATGTGATTGGAAAAAGTTTGAAAAATGGTAGGTTAGGTAAGGTTTCTGCTTTAAACATTGGGTCTGGTAGGTCTTAAGTTTATGGTCTTGGTGTGCTTGAAATGGTAAGTAGAATCCATGCTGTGGTTTCCTTTGATCTTGATACTGATTGGATTTCTTTCCGTTGATCAATACAATGGTGGGCAAAATTGACAAATTTAGAAATCTCATTGCCACTTGAAACTTACTCACAAGAACAAAAATCAAATTTTGAAACTAATAATGATGTATTATTTGGAAAGCAACTTGATTGTGTCAGAACATTGGGTCTTTTTAACTGAATTATATGGACTAATTGAAAATAGATTAGATTCTGCTTTACACTTAAAAAGACTGTGTGAGAATTGGTGTGATTGAAGGCTTTTGGGAATGTTTCTGGATTTGGGTTTTGTGGTTCATGTAGGATTAGTTGGGTTCATGTTATTCATATATAATTATTTTCCAATTCAGTTTCCAGAGATGCAAGTCAAGAATAAGTTGATGGAAATCAATGCTGATGAAATGTAGACTATTTTCTTCCTTTTCCTTGACCATAAAAAATCTATAAGGTGGATCATTACCCCTTGGCAACAAAACAAAATAAAGAGGTTTAATGATATCTCAATCTGACTTTTTTTGTCAAATTATGATGGGGCTGTTCAAGAAGGGCTTCTACAGCCCTTTTTTATATTTTACATTTTGTTTGGGCTCTGTAAATTTTAAGTAAAACTTTAAGGTCATGAACCATCTTTAGAGTTGGTTCACAGTCTTGCGATCTTGTAATCAGCCTTAAAACTTTTAAATCATGTACCTGAATTTTCAAAAGACAGGGACAATTGAGCCAAAAAATGTACCTCCATTCTTTGTATTTTTTGTTCCTGGATTCTAATGATTTGTGGTCAAAAAAGAACCTTTTCTTTCCTTATTTTTTTTCTCCAGGTTTTTTTCTTTCATTAACAAAAAATCTGTACAAAACCAAAGAGAAGAAAAAGAAGCCAAAAAAAACTGTTGGGACAGTGTTTCTGACTTTACAAAGCCGTAAAATATAAAATTAGAGCATTTGCCACTTTGCAATCAGGACTTTTAAGGATTGAGCAACCCTAAAAAGACTGATTGCAACTCGGCAACCACTTGCCTCACATTTCTCTTCTTGCACTACACAAAATGTCATCTTTACTGGGCGGTAAAGAAAACTACTGACATAGAAAAGTCCTGAGGCAACAGGAAGAGAGCTAAAAATCTGAAAAAACATGCACCTTGTTCCTAGATGTTGGGGCGTCATGACAAGTATTTTTTTGTATTTTACACACAGATATTGGTTAATGTACTAACAATAAAGCCTGAGAATCATCATATACCCACCTGTAACAATACCTGAAATTTGCGCCCTTGACTTTGAAGACAGGATTTTGGAATCTTCAAACATCAATAACTTTTGCAGTCCTGAATCAAATCAATCGATGTGAAGTTCATGAAAAAGGTGAGCCTTTCCTCTACATTTTTCATTGAGACATCACATCTGTAGCTGGTCTAAAAAAGATCCTACAGAGCTATTCATGCAGAACTGTTTGAACATATGTAGAGTGTTTAAATGACTAGATAGCACCTTACTAACATTATGAAGTGTGAAGGAGAATAGTTCAGCTTTTGAATGAACCACAAATCGAGTTATTTGGAGCAGAATTGCAAAAGTTATTGAAGTTTTTAGACCACAAAATATTGTCTTCATACTCATGACCCAAATTTCAGGTATTGTTACATGTGAGTTTTTGTTGATTTTCAGCATTTATTGTTAGTACATAAACCAATTTCTGCGTGTAAAATACAAAAAAATACTCATCATGACGCCCCAACATCTAGGAACAAGGTGCATATTTTTTCAGATTTTTAGCTCTCTTCCTGTTGCCTCAGGACTTTTCTATGTCAGTAGTTTTCTTTACCGCCCGGTAAAGATGACATTTGGTGTAGTGTTGGACTGCCCTAATGTAACTCAAAATTTTGGAAGGCTTGATTTTTAATTGGTTTACTTATACTGTGCATAGATTTACCAATTAATGATTACAATTTGTCAATTTAAAATCAACACAAACCAGATGATAAAGTCAGAATGTGCACAGAAGGATCTATCTTCAAACCTGCAGTAGGAGTCAAATGTGCAACAATAACACCAGATGAAGCAAGAGTAAAAGAATGTAAATTTAAGCAAATGTGGTTGTAAGTAAACCCAAAAACCCCCAAGTGAAAAATATTCTATAACATGTCATATACTGAGACAAAACAATACTTGAGGTACTCTGATATTGAAATTGTTAGGTGGTCAGTGACAGGGGTTAGGCTTAGGACAAGGATATCATCACCCTGTCCCAGGGGTATGTGACATTGACTTTGCTCACAATGACCATCCTTCCTTGCAAAACTTGATCCCACCACATTTAAGACTCACAAGCAGCATGGCCTCTATACCCCTTGCCTCATCCCCATCCTGTTGCTTGCTGCCTGCCGTAAAGATCTAAATTAAAAGCCCTCTCAGATTGGCTTGATTTATTTTAGTTGCCTTGACTATGTAATATACTTAGGCTAGCACTGTGTTACTCACACTGTAACCATTGAGCAACATTGTTTTATGATCTAGATTCTTCTAAACTGTCATCCAACCAATTGCCCCTGACATTGAAGCTTGCCTTTTTGGGAGATATTTGAGCCAAAATATCCTCCAGCATTCTTTGCAAATACATCTAAGATGAGCCCTTCTTACAAGTGCGGCGCCCGCCGCCAATTTGGCTAGTGTATATATAAAATAACAAAACCAATACAATGATATAGACAAAAATATCAACTTGAGCCTTCAAGGCAGGACTTACAAACTCACAATTGATCAAAAAAAATGATCAAGAAAGTAGTCTATAAGATAAGACAAAGAAAACCATCTACATCAATCACCTCAGTACTTACTCTTCATCTTCTTCTTCTTCTACCTCTTCCTCATCTTCTTCATCTTCTTCATCATCTACCTCTTCTTCCTCATCTTCTTCCTCATCATCTACCTCTTCTTCCTCATCTTCTTCCTCATCTTGTCCATTCGCCACCTCTGCTCCTAATTCTTCTGCCTCGTATAGTTCTTCATCAGGTCCTGCTGCCTCGTCTCCAAAGGAATCATCGAGGCCTGCTATAGTATCTTGAATCTCTTGCTCTGTAGGTAATGTAAACTTGGTCATTGCTTTCAATTCTTTGAATGTCCTCTTTCCGTTCATAAATAAGTCAGTTTGTAAGACCAGCACATAGAATCTGATTACAAGATTAAGTCAGTTGCGATTAATGCAAGGAATATAGAAACAAAGAGAAACGAGCCTACGCATAACAATACCTTGAGGATTCACTGCGCAAGTGCTCCAGAGTCTGGTCCACCACGTTCCACAAAGTCTTGGTCTTGTATGTCGGACGGTTTAACCCCCAATGTATGAATTGTATCCTCTGGATGTCATTGAATCCAGCAAGTCAGTGAGATTGATTGTACAACGAGATGAAAAAAGGCAACTACATACTATCCATGCATGGCGACCAACTTGAAGATGCCCAATGTCGGACATGATCTTTTTTGGAGAGATTACACTGCCTCCAACATAACCATGATCTTTTTGGTAGAGCTAATTCAAACTTGGTTAGAATGAAAAAGGCAAAAGAGTGAGTTCAACGGAGACTCACCTTAACCATAATCTCATAGATGCTCGGTACAGCGCCATCACCTGTAACAACAGATCGATCCGGAAGCCGAACATTGGTCAGGAGCTGCAATTTTGATTGAAGTGTTCAGCCCGTTAAAAGACAATAGTCAGCCCATTGAAAGATGAAAGACAAAGTATATTAATATAAAATATATTACCGTGCCTGTATGGTCTTTTCGGACCTCCTTCAACACTGTCTTGATGACCTGGTGGAAAAGACTCGACACTGCTGGGTTCGGATCCTTTCCATAGCGAGGTGGCAACATCTTTTTCTTCCACGCGGTGTGAGTTGACATTATCTTGGTCTGAATAAACCATTGCATCATTGTTCATATTTTAATCTCATGATAAAAGATTACAAGACTCACCATGACTCTTGCGTACAGAGAGTGAGGGAGGAGCTCTTTGGTGCCTGTTTTGTTGTTGGTTGCTGTGTACGCCTGAATATCGCCTTTGAGAATGCACTTTGTGGCCGAGACGCGCAAACATTTCTGAACACAGGAAGAAGGGAGAATTACGTAATGATTTTCATGATGCAGAGTTGAATATTGAAACTACTTACTTTGAGCTCTTTGCTTTCTTTCCAACCAATAGCCCCAGATGAAATTTTGGCGAGCTCTGATTGGATTTCTGACAATTGACTCCTCATCTCCAAACGGAACACTTCGTTCTCTTGACGTTCAACCAGAACGTTTGCCATCATGGTCATGAACTGCTCCTCAGTAGATTCAACCTACAGCAGAAATTGATAGTCAGATTGATAATGGAAGAGAGTGATGAAAAGGATAATTATAGAAATGACACTGACATTGCAGAGTGTGCGACCAATGAAACGGTGCTCTGTGTCAAGGCCAACACGGGTGGCAACTCGATTGTAAGTACCCACTTTGGCGCGATTCATGTGTGTCGCTTGGCTCTCGGCAGTGATTTCGTTGGCATGGGTCCGAATGGCTTGGATAGCAAGGTCCGCGGCTGTCTGGCCTCCTGGTTCATTGGTGGTTTACCCCAAGCACGCGACGGTAGGCCAAAGTCAAATTTCAAGGTTGGGGTGGTTGATTCGGCCCTGGTGACAGTTGAGCTCTGACTAGCCCAGCTCAGCGACTGGTTGTTCAGAGCACATGCGCAGGAAAGGTATGTATACCATAGGGAGGGACTCTCCTTCTTCCTCCCTCTCGTGCTACACTTCCTTCCCTTCCTGACTCACCACCGCCGAATCTCCAGCTCGGTCTTCTCTCATTTTGATTCTCAAGTTTTAGTGCGCTAAACTCTCGAATCGAGAAATTTTTTTCTTCTTAGTCTTTTCCTAGACTCTTACTTTGCTCTATCCAGAAATCCGTGTTTTTCAATCTCTATTTGCTCCTAATTTCAGAATACTCTAATAGTGGTCTTGTATTATCCAGCAAACTTTGAGTCATTCTAAGGTTTATGATGAAGAAGATTTCGCGGAATTGCAATCAGACGGAAACCCAGAACAGAAGTAACACATCCATAGGCTCACCTTCTATCGAGCCTACCTCTGAGAAGGGAAAACAAGCTTACAAGACAGAACAACAAGCGATAGCCAGAGCAAATCGCGCGAAGTCAAGATCTAGAGAAATGTCTCCCTCCCAGTCACAACCGACGTCGAACTCTGCCTCAGGCCAGCCAACCAATTTGACATCCAATAACACAAACGACGAGCTACGTGCTCCTCGTTTAACGGATCCTGCGTTTAGTCAGGGAGGGAATGGAGAGTCACAAAACAAGGAGACGGTGGATATCAACGCTACTACAAGTTCCAACGTCGGCGGCAGAATGGCAGATCCTCCGAATAGAAGGTTGAAACTCACTTTGAGCAATCAAGGTGCTCAATCGACTTCTCGAGAGCAACTTTCTTCGGGAGAATCCTCCGAGTCAAGTGGTAGTGACGGCAATATGCTGATTAAGAAGGATAAAGGTTAGTGGCTGCATCCCACATCTTCTTTTCCAGTGATTGCTCTGGGGTATCTTCCCTATTTTAGCGCCTCTTTTATTAGGCAGCTGAGCACCTAGCACCTCTTTTATTAGGCAGCTGAGCACCTGGTAGTTAAGCTGCATAATGCGCTGTCCCGCCTCTCAGGATTCAGGGACTGGCAAAGCCTGTTTACCATTCCAGTGAGGACGCAGCCACGAGCGCGATAAAGGGCTCCTCTACAGAGAAGGTTAGGCAGCGTTTACGCGCCCAGAAAAACACTGTTGTCTCCAAATCCGATTCCATGCTTCCATCGCCGAGATCTTCGTCTTGTGCTGATTTGGTTTACCCCGTCCCCTATTAGTTCGCTTCAACAATTTTACAAAGGAACAGAAAGCGGACAAACAATCCTTGGTTGATGCTCTCGTAGACGCAATTGAGCACGGGACGGAGAAACAAGTTAGAACCTTGTCGTCTGAACTTAATGTGAAGTATGGAAACGGAGCACCTGTTCTCCCTCGCTTAAGCAAGCCTCCACCATCGTCAGACCAAGGTACGTCAATCCAGCCTGAGCTTGGATGGGAAGTTTTCTCATGACCAACCACGTCCGCGTCCTGCTTCTCTATTCCTCTTTAGGACCCAGCGAAATGGGGAAAAACCAGAGACAGAAAAAGAACTTGAAACGGAAGGACAAGAAGTCAGTTTCGGAGCCCCCTTCCTCTGCCGAAATACAACCCCCAACAAAGAAGGGGAAGAAACGTTCCAAGGGCAAGAGGAAAGCTCTCGAAGTCCAAGACTTTCCTTCCGACTCTTCCAGTTCTTCGAGTTCATCCGACTCGTCCTCCGGTTCGAAGACAGAATCGGGGAAGTCATCAGGGTCCTCTTTGTCGACCAAGAAAGGAAGTGACGACTCCAGTGATTCTTCCTTGGAGGAAGATTCTGAGCTGAGCTTCGAAAATCGTTCCTTGAAAGCCGCAGATTTGCTAGACCTACCAATTAAGTGGGATAAGGGATTTAGGCGTTTGCGTGCTTATGTTCCATTGACCGTCTTCAAACGCTCCTTGATCAACTACTGGCATACGGTTACGTCCCTCCAACAATCTTCCAAGGGCCACGCTTCGGCTCCCGCTCCAGAGGTTCAACTAGAACGACAGATTAACTTCGGGGATTTCATGGAAATGTGTGATTTAGAAGCCCGTTATGCCAGGGAGATCTACGACCTAGCTCCTTATGCAGATTACATAGAGAAACATAAGGAAATTGTTACCACCTTGAAGCGCAAGTATAAGTGCTGGATGGTGGGACTAAGGTATCATCTTTTGGTTCGAACGGTGATTTTCAGACGAAGAAGAGTTGTCAAAAAGAAGTCGAAGGGCAGGAAGTCGAAGAAGGACAAAGTCATTCTACCTTTTGGACTCCAACCGGACATCGAGGACGCAGCTAGATGGGAGGCAGAAGTGGCGGGAGACCTTCGATTTGAGGACAATCCGTATGCACCCGGAAATCCCAAGTTTGGGTTCGATTTCTCATCTGGGAGGCCTCCTGTCAACAACCAAACTTCCGGGGGAAGTGGAGTCCAACCATCGACGTCTTTGCATCAAGCATCCTCTCAGGCCCCTTCTTCTACTGTGGCGTCTGTACAGAGGGGAAAGAGGGGAGGAAGAGCTAGGCGCAACAATTTTCGATTTCCTTCCTCTAGCCAGGACGTGCAACCTTCCTCTACCTGGAACAACTCCCAGCCGGCTCAACCAGCCTTTCATCACAATTGGTTTGCTCACCAACCGGCCACTTCGGTAAACCCTCCAGCAGCTTCATCGGAAGCCTTGTCTTTGGCCCCTGCTGGGAACGCGGCTTATGTCAACAACAATTACAAAGGGAAGAAACCCTGGAGACCAGCTGGGGAAAGCGGGAAGGAGGCTGCCCCAACTCCACCCAGGTAAGGGCTGCTTTAGCTCTTTTTTAAGAAGCGGTTGCCTCGACTCCATTTTAGACTTCTTCGCAGTTGTGAGGAGTTTTAGAATCCCTTGCATCGCTTTAATGCGATTGCTTCGTTATTTCCAGTTTTATTCTCTCTTTATGTCGAATGATACGATTTCTGATTTACTCCTTCTTTTTTTAAAAAAAAAAAAAAAAACATTTCTCCTTAGTATTACACCTTATCGAAGTGATCTTGTACAGACTTCCGAGCCACCGGTAGATACAATTGTAAACCGGTAAGGCGTTGTTCATATGTCCTCTTCAATGATTCCTTTTGTATAAAAGTCTTGTTATTTGGTCTTGATGAGGTGGTCCTTTTTTCCTTTTTCTTGCAATTTATTATCGTTCGCTCTACGATTACGTGGATTGGTAGCCGCGCAGGGCGGAAGACCACGAGACCACGAGTACTCCACGACTCGGTGTTGGTAGACGAGTTTCTGAGAAGTGACGACGAGTGTCTAAATGACTCAGAATCAGATCAGGAAGGATTATCTCAGGATTCTGGAGAAAAGAAGAAGAAGAAAACTCCCTTACCGCTGTGGGAGAGAATCCTTTACATTTACGAAGTGCCAAATCCGTGGCCGGTGCAAGTGTCCAGCTTGATGAACGTCAGTCAATGGGATCGGCTTATGAGAGAGGCAGGTCTGGTTAAGGAGATTCCCTATATTACAGAGGGTTTCTTGAAAGGCTTCTGCCTTGGAATCCCTCAACATGATCTTGGGGATTTACTCTGGTATACTCCAGATAATCATCGGTCGGCTCTAGACGCTCAGGCAGAGATCAAACGTACAATATCGAGTGAATCCAAGGCAGGCCGCCTTATGGGTCCGTTCTCGCACGAAGATGTACACCATCGATATGGGTTCTTTCGGTCTAACCCGATGGGTAGTGCGGTAAATGGGGATGGCTCTCTGAGATTGATTAACGATCTCTCCTTTCCCAAAAACGATCCGTTTACTCCTTCGGTCAACTCATTTGTGGACAAAAGGAATTTTGATACACACTGGGACGATTTCGATACGGTGGCGAATTTCCTCAGCAAAAACCCAGGTGATTGGGAATTGGCGATTTTTGACTGGAGGAAAGCCTATTGACAACTACCAGTTCACCCGTGCCAAAGAAGATTCTTATGTATAAAGGACTTCCGGGGAAGAATATGGATTGACCTCGCTGTTGGTTTTGGAGGCGTAGCGAGTTGCGGAGTTTTCGGTGCACCAGCCCACGTCTGGAAAGAGATAATTGAAAGACTCCTGAAGATCTGGAAAATATTTAGGTGGGTCAACGACAACTTGCTTCTAAGAAGACCTGGGGAGAAGGCGTCTTTGCAAGATGTAACAAATTTAAGCAACAGTTTGGGAGTCCTAACTAATCCGGTTAAGAATTTCGAGTTCTCGACGGAACAAAAGTACGTGGGGTTCATCTGGAACGGGGTTGATCATACAGTAAGGCTGCCAGAAGATAAGCTTAAAGAAAGGAGGCAACAGATAATTGACTTCTTGAAGAAAGATTCCATGTGGTCCTTTAAAACCGTCGAAAGTTTTGTTGGCAGGTTGATTCACACGACCTACATCGTCCCGCATATGAAATGCTACACACGTTTGTTCTACAAGTGGATGAAGACATGGGTCAACAAATCAGCATTGAGGCCAGCCCCAGACTACGTTCAATCGGACCTCTTAGAGTGGACAATTTGTCTAAGCAATTTCAACTCGAGGCCCTTGGTGCCCTCCAAAAGACCTGTCGACGTCTTGTGGGTAGGAGACGCCTCGAATTCAGGGATTGGTGTCCTAATAGGAGACCACTGGGCGGCGTTTAAACTTACTGAAAATTGGAGGACCCTTGGTTTGGTGGACTCCAAGAGGCCCATCGCTTGGGCTGAAACGGTTACGATCCGCCTTGGTCTTCTAGTGCTGTCGAAAGTGAAACAGGTTGCAGGTGAGCCTTTAGACACGTGAATTTGAGTTTGGGGTGGAAACCTCCCCAATCGGGCTAATAGGGACTGGGCGAAGTTCGGACAAGCACAGGATTTTGCCACCTGAATTAGCGCAAGTATAGCAAGGAAGTTGTCCGAAGAGATTTAAACAGGAGGAACATATCACTGACCTTTCGCATGTCCAAGTGCCCCGTTCAAAATCTCATTGGGATGACAAAGCTGAGTCCGGGTTCATTCCCAAGGCCATATTCCCACAGACCCGATTGCTTGCTCAACTTCTATAGGATGTTCCAACGTCTATCTTGCAAGGGGTTCTTCATGAGGACCCCAACCCAAAGGTACAAACTTCCTTTTCGGGCTCCCCCGTGGGCACCACCACCGGAGAGCTCAGGGCCACAGCCTTATCTGTGAAAGGTATATCAGGCAATCCTGATGCGGTCAGCCTAAGGCTTTTGGCTGAGGAGTAGGAAGTTTTGGATTGGAGAGCCCATCAGATGATGGCAACCGGCTATGCGCCACCCTATTTTTTTTAGTCTCATGAAGTTGACTAATAAAAATAGGGAATTTTGATATTGATTCAACAGGGGCTGGATTGCTTGCGATAGTATTTCAACTACGGTTGAATTGGATTTTTGCAGCGCTTCGCCCAGTCCCTAATGTGAATGGTTCTTGCGCAGGGAAAAGGTTCGTTGTCTTGACGGACAACACTACCTCCCAGTCGGCAGTTAAGAAGCGGAAGTCTAGGGACGAGACTGTTAATACTGAGTGGAAGTATATACAGAAGCTCCTGACCCTTTTGTCTTGTGACATCGTGGCACACAGGGTAACTTCCAAAGGGAATCTAGCGGATGATCTGTCTCGGGGGATCTTCGGATCACTGAGCTGGAGTCACGAAGTACAAATAGAAGTCCCATCCGACCTAAAACCCTTTCTTACGCAAGTCTCATTACCTCCAACTTCTGCGCCAATATGACGAACCCCCCTTATCGCATTTCTGGCTATTCCAATCTTTCTCACATGATCTCCCCTCTCTCTCTTGACAAGTCCAAACCGGTCCAGTTCAAAGACTTTCGATCTGACGCGTACGGTTTTGATTATGTTGACTCGAATCCTCTCCAACTACATCTACTAAATGGGGCCTGGGAACATAGTACCCTTAAATCATACAACTCAGGAATTGTGAAACTTAAACGATTCGCAGATGTAATTGGAATCAACCCCACTGTGCTTCTACCGATACCTTCCAAAATCCTGTGCGAATTCGTAGTATGGGCGTCCGTCAAAGGGGAAAGATGGATGGCTCAAGATGAATCTGTAAAGACTCCTACTCTCAAATCATACCTGGCAGGCATTAAGGCCTGGCATTTGTTTCATGGAACCTTCTTCCCGAGCGATGTCGAACCTGTTATCAGAGCGGTTCTTAAAGCATCAAGAAAGTTGGAAGCCAAGTTCGACGATCTCGATAAGAAGCGACCCCCTGTCCTCATATCAGATCTCCTCGCTCTGCACGGAAATCTCGCTGGTCGGGGGGAGGAAGAACTCTCTCTGCTTTCAGTCGCTCTCTCAGCCTTTTGGGGTTCGGCCAGACTCGGAGAGCTGGTCTCGGACGATTCACGGAAGTCGGTTCCGCGTTGGCAAGATTTAGAGTGGGCACCGGACGGCTCCGATGTAGTCATTAATCTGCACGAGGCAAAAACGGCCAAGCCAGGCGAGATCCAGCAAATCCACCTGGAACGTCAGGATTCCATACTGGACCCGGTTTCTTGCCTCAAGGCGCTTTATGACTTCCGCCCTCGGAAGCCAACAGATTTCGTTTTTGGCTACTTATCTGATGGAAAGAAGTCGAGGTTGTCTAAATCTACCGCCATCAACAAGTTTAAAAAGATCTGGAACTCTACCCGTCCCAAATCCAAGCAGCTCTTGCACGGCCACTCCTTTCGGATCGGAGGAGCTTCTCTTCGATGGAATTTAGGATGTTCCAGGGAAGAGATTAAGAGGAGTGGAAGGTGGGCTTCGGATGCCTATAGGATCTACCTTAGGAAGTTCTCGACGAGAGATCTCCGGAGAACTAAGGCTCTTCTGTGCTCAATCCGTACATGATTCTGGACTTTTTGTGACTACCTTTTCATTTTTCGTTGATCATTCAAGTTAAAGGTAAACCGTGTTCGCCGGCAAAACCTGATTAAACTCCCAATCCCTACTACCAATTTCCAGGTTTACACGTTCAACAGATTTAATCTGATTTCCACGCGCCTCACCCCAAATTGATCATTTCTCCCTCGAATTCCTCACCACCTACCAACACACTATCCTCCCACTTGCTGCAAATCAGACTCCTTGATCCAAGCAGTCATATATCAATCCAATCAAACCACTTCATCAAAACTTTCAATGGAACAAATCAGCTTCTCCTTCAAACTCAAGCTCCAAAGAACTTCATTTGATCTCATTCAACATGACAAATTATCAAAACCACCTTCAAATCAAATTCAATACACTTGTAAACAAGTTAAGCTATCATCCAATATTACTGAACCACTGCACAAATAGCTCACTGATTCGATTATAACTGCAGTTTACAAACTCTTGATCGGATATGGTTCAAATTTATCGGATTCAATTTGTGGAATTTATAATGCAAAACAAGTTCTTTCAGGTTAATTCAATAAAACAATCAGTAATTGAGAATCTCAACATCAACTTAGGTTTTGAATATATGAATTTGTTGATACACTTGAAAGAGCGAGAAAGTTTGGGGTTGAAAAACAAATTCTGACTGTAAATCGTCTTTCAGGTTCTACTGCAGTCATTAAATTCCCTCATCAACATCGGTTATGGTTTTCACTCATTTCTCTATGTCCCATTCAATATCATCAAATTTGATTCGATTTTGTTTTTTGATTCTTAAATCCAGATGATTGATTGAAAAGTCAGAAGGTCAAAAGCTGGAATTCGCAAAGAAAAAGAAACACCACACTTCAACAGCTGGAAATAAAATTGAGATTAAAAGGAACCATCGGAACACACACCAGATCTTTCCTTTCTATCGAACTTGGATATATAAGTTATAAACTGTTATATATATACAGAACACCAAA